CGGCGAGAGGACGGACGACAGCACGGTCGCCCCTTGCCCTCCTTCCACCGGGACCACCCCGTGGCGATGGGACGCCAGTCGCCAAGGCCTGTGCACAGGGAGTGGTGGGCAGCAAACCTTTCTCTTGGACCATGGTGTGCAGCTCCTGCCGGACGCGGTCGCTCCAGCGGGGGATGTCCACGTGCAGCGCGTAGTCGCAGCAGGCCTTCCCGTCAGCCCACTCCCGCCACCGCTCCAACGCCTCTGCCAGGCTGGACTCGGGGTCCGGCACCACGTGGTCCACTGCAGAGGCACAGCAGGGGCAAGGGGTGGGCAAGGGCTCCCCACCTGGGCCACCCCACTGCGGCCCTGCATGCTGCCGGGCATCTCCATGATCCCAGGCTCATCTCCTCAGCAGCTTCAGGGCAGCTCTGAAGAGGTCCCCATCACCTCCATGACGTGCCTGGGTTCCTCTAAGTGCATTTATTGGCAGGGAAGCACACAGAGCCTTTGCTTAACGGCCTTTGGCATAGGACCAGGGGCTTTTACAGGCTTCTGCTGAGAAATCAGCTGAAAGCTGATTGTCCTCCTCATCCCCACTTCCACCCCATTAACACATAGCCTCCTCCCATGCTGCAGTTCTAATGCACCTTTTATTGCCCACCATGTAATCCCTATGCCCTGCCATAGTCCATTTCACACAACTTATTTTTTTGGCCCAGGGGGAAGGAGAACCGGTGGGAGGAGGGCAAGAAACCCAGTCCTTTACTGGAAGGATCAACAGTTGCTCCTGCATCCCAAGAAACCCTGCAGTGCACACAGCTGTGACCACTGCACAGCAGTAAAACCTGGACCTCAAACCAGTGCACAGCTGTGGCCTTCTCCGGGGAAGGACCTCAGAATTCCCTTTCCTTTTTCGTTAGCACTGTTTATTTCTGAGCAGTGCGGGATGCCAGGACATTGCTCTGTTCCTCTGCTCAGAGTCATCTGAGCATCATGCTGCCCTATTTTTATTTAACAGGGAAAAAAAGTTATGCCATTGCTCCTTTTTGAGGGTCCCAGGGACACCAGTGGCTGCAGACAATGAAGCACTGCAGAACACTGGATCTGCAAGGGCAAGGGGTCCTATGCAAATCTCCTGTATCACCACTTCAGTATTACTAAGGATCCCAAAGATTCATCCCACTCCTCACTCTCTAGACTGCATTGACAGAGATCACAGAAAAGATGAGCACACTGTCATGGACCTTTAAAACAAAGACGACTGAGAAAAGCAAAGAGAAAAAGAAATAACCGGGCAACGTTCCAAGAGTGCTGGGTGCTGTCACATACAGGACCTGCCTGCTGCACTCACTGATCATGGTGGTTCCACCAGCCAGGGCCGCTTTCGTCCCTTGGAAGAAATCATCCACAGCTGTCATCCCCTTGTATGGCATCTGCAGGCGAGTGTGGACATCAATTCCTCCAGGGATCACCATCTTCCCATTGGCTTCTATGGTTTTGACCCCTCCAGGGACAATCAGATTGTCTCCAATCTGCCTGATGAGATCATACCAAGATGGTGAGCCACACACAAAAGAAAACCACAACATAATCAATGAACAGTTCACCTAGGGAGCAGCCAGGTCAACTCCTCCTGCCAGCAGAAATGCCCCACTCCTTCCCACTCCCACACCTGGGCTTACGGGAGCCAGCAGAGTGAAACCACCTCACTCTGCAGCAAAATGCAGGGTTGTCTGGCTTGCTTAAACCTACGATTTGCATAGTCCAGGGGTGGCTGCCATCTGTCCGACTGCTCTAGTGGTGTCTATGATGGCACCTGCTGTCTAGGGCAGGCACTGGGTTGGGATAACTGGGGAGTATGGTCTGATGGGCATAGAGATCTCTGCAGTGTACGGTGAGAAGTTGCCTAGGACACTTCATACCCCACAGACTCCTGAGTCAGGATCCTGCAAGTGTTTCCAGCGTAGCAGTCCAACCTGATCACCCAGGGTGCATGCTCACAAAACCCGACACCAGCCCTGCTTCCAGTAAGCCGCACCCCTAATCTCTCTTCTCCCCCGTCCTTCTGCCCACCTTAAGTAAGGCTCAAGTCTGAGGCCTACTTACAGAGAAAGATGATTTCCCAGCGTAATGCCACAGCTGCTGGGCCAGCTCAGGGCTCGCCAGGAACTTGTAATGCTGCTCACAGCACAAAGTCCCGAGGGTAAAGGGAAGCCTCCCTCCGGGGAGCTGGGGAGGAGCTCACAAAGTGCACAGCATGGCTGGCTGCAACTGGCTGGGCTCGCGGCACAGCCTGGAAGCACTGGGCTCACCCTCTTCCCAAGGAGCGCAGACAGAGTCCTCCCCTCCCCAGGACCTCCCTTCTCACTTGTCTCCTTCATGCCCCTGAAGGACATCTTTGCTTATCAGCAGGACCACACTGTAGTGAAGGCAGCTAAAATCCCAAGTACCTAAAAATATCTTCTGAAAACAGGAAACCTAAAAAGTTCCAGTATACATCTACTCGAAACCTAAAATACCATTATAGTCCTCTGGAGTTTGTGCTGTTCTAGCACATGACATTCTCCTCCCTAGACATACCCAGCCCTCCTGCAGGCCAGGACACCTGAACCTTAGGACTCCCCTCATTCAGCCCCCCGCCCCCTCAATCCCTTTATCTGTCCATATGTAGCACTCAGCCTTCAAATCTCTTCTTTCAGAAATCCTATTTTCATCAAGCCTTCCTCAGTCTTCCCTGATAAATGAAGACAAAAGACAAGTTGGTTTTAGTGGAAAACTTCCGATTTCCTTGACACACTGGGGAGGTAAACGAGGAGCAAATTCCCTAGTCACTTTGCAGGTTTTTTTCCTTAGAATAACAAAAGTTCTGTGGACAGAACTGCTTGCTCCAGTGTCCTCACAGCAATAAACCAGCAGCTCTTTCCAGTGCTTTTATTGAGATGAATCCATCACCAAAGGATTTAAACTGCTCACTGTATTCTTACCAGAATTCACTTGCGAGAGCATTTCACTTCCAAGGCTATGAAATTCTGTGACCTCCAGGCTGCAGACGAGGCTAAGTGATTTGCCCAAGGATACCCAGGAAGTCTGTGCCATAGCAAGACCTGAAGCTGGCTCTGATCCCTGCCTGGGTACAAGTACTAGTCAATCATGGCTGCTCTTGTCCACCAGCTAAAACCAGCCTCATAAAAATACAGTCCCACTTCTTGAAGTACTTCTCTGCTGCTGGATTTGTAAAATATCCTGGGAAGGCTGGATATTTTCCTCTTACCATAGAGCAAGCAACGCCTTTTCAAGTTCCTCTGCTATAAACTATCACGGTTCTTTCAATTCACCCAGCCTGGAGCTCGTCCCAATGTGATACACTTGCCACGTTTGAACTGCAGCCTTTAAACAATGGAGTTATTACTGTACCTCTGAAACAGACACAAAGAAGCTGGGGGGACCCAGAGGTTTGACTGCAGTTCCTGAAAATCTCAAGGATGCAGATGACCTGCACCACAGAACTGTCCTTGTTAGTGCTAACAAATGGGATCTTGTGTGGGGTCATTCATGTTAATACTGTTAACACAGGGCAAAACAGGAGTCAAAGATAAATATTGTTCCTGGTGCAATTAGATACAGCTTTGTTGTACAATGGACACTGTGTCACGAAGTCACCAGCCCTACTGCAATTCAGTCACTGGAGTTACTATGTAAACACGTCAGGCAATCACATATGTGCTCACACATACTGCAGAGAGCTGAGCCTCTAACCAGAGTGGGCTATCAAGTTCTACTGGCTGACAAGTTGAGTACATCCACAAAAGGCCAATAACCATCCAACCTGAAGCTGATTTAAGGGGAGATGGAGATAATACGCTATAGAAGTCCCATACTTACTTTATGAGGCCATCCTCCATGTAAATGTCAGCATAGAATGACTGGTCATCGTTGACTATTCTCCCTCCTTTAATAAGGAGACGATCACTCTGCGAAGAGAAGAACACAGCAGTTGTTAGTAGGAGGCAGCACACGCGTTTCTCAGTGGCCAGTACACTGCCCTCCTACTGCATCAGACAGCTCACCCCAACAGCCGATACTGCAGAAAGTTCATGTCTGTACCGACACTTGAAACAACAGAACAAGAGCAAGGATTGAAAAAATCATATTCGCAGGGCTGTTTCTGAATGGAGCAGGTGCTGCCAGAAACACCTCCAAGGCAGAATGAGTACAAAGAAGAGTCACTGGGGACACAGAAAATATGTTTCAATAAAATATACAGAGAGAAGTCAAAAGCTTCCTATACCAGGTCATTACGCACATAAATCTGCAAGCAGCAGAAGCCACATACCAGTATTTAAAGCAAGTTTGTTACTAAGAGCATGTGCTTAAACCTTATCCAAATACCATGCAAAATAAGTTGCATTAGAAAAGACAATTTATATCTCTCTCATCTGTTACCACCTTGCAAAGACCACCAGCAGGACAGACAGCCCTGAAGGTGATGCATCTCCTGTTGGAATCTGTCGCTCCCCTACGATGCTCGGGGTGAACACCTTCTGAGGTGTTTCACGATGTCACAGGTCTACACAAGACCAGGAGGCACTGAACTGCATTTACCACCTCCTGTGTTCTCCTTTCTACTGACCTATGTGGCCAGCAGCCTTCTCTGAAGGAGCACAGCCTGACAGTGGCGGAGCACCTCACCAGAATCGCTCTTATCCTCTTCCTGTATTCACGCTTTTGGACCTGGGCAACCCAGCATACACTGATGGGAGAGAACGGACACTGCCCTGTGGGGAACAGACCCTGGCCTGAGGAATTGGAAAGGCTGAGGTCCTGCTCTTCTACGTTCACCTGCACAAGTCCGAACACCAGCTGTAAGCAGTACAGGGGCAAAGAGCCTGATCTCACACATAGCTACCATGTATTCGGGTGATTTAAGCTGATTGTGCTGTTGCAGAGAATATGCAGTCTTCCTGACTGCTTAAAATGCCTCCGACAACCCTCCAGCTCTCAAGCTCCCCTTAGTTTCCTCTCTGCTCTCCCCAGTGCCCACAACCCAGGTTTTGGCACGTGAGTACACCCCTCTTCCATAGCCTGAGCCTGGACCACGGCTGACTAGAGCCTTCAGCAGGGCTCACACGCCAGCCTCACCCTGTGAAGCTCTTGCACAATTAATTCCTCTACAGGGAACTGGGTTTGTTCTTCATCTGCCACGCCGGGGTGATTTCTGGAAGCATCATCACAGTGGTGGTAATTTGCAGCTTCCTCCCTGGCAACAGAAGGATGTGAGAGAATCCCCCCGTGTCCCTGCAGCCTGCAGCAGCCAAAGCCCCGACACCGGTGTGCGTTTTTACAGCAATCTCATCCACACACAGTTGAGACAAAGAAACTGGGTGGGGAAAGGATCAGAATGCACGGCATTCTCAACCCCGGCTGCAGCTCAGCGCTGGTGCAGCGGGAAGAGCCACGGTCTCTCCTCGCTTCCCAGGCAAGGGCTTTCCCACGGCTGCACCGATGACCAGCAACCCAAGTCCCAGCAACAAGGATTTACCTTCCCCGCTCAGTGCAGCTTAATGCCGATCAGGAGCCTCGCCTCCCACCAGGAAAAGCGCACGTCTGAGTTGTTCCCCTATTCCTGTCCTACCCACCATCCTCCCCGATAAGCAGAGCCAGGGTCAGCCCCCCTTCTCCCCTGACCTAAGCTAACACATCAGCGCAACGGTCTAGCAGAACTTTGCTATCTAAGGGGGGGTCTGGAAGCAAGGGCACATTGCTGGTCACAGACCTCTCCGCACAGCTCCTTTAAACAGCTAGCTTTAACAGATCACAACCAGCACACAAAGATACCAGCCTTGATTAGCGACCCAGGGGACCATTACCACCTCTCACTTGCAGCTCTTCTCCTCAGGTACAGCCGAGGCAGGAGGAGAGCCGGGTGCGCGCTGGCCCGTGAGTCCCAGGTCCTCATGCCAGCTCTCAGCCTGTGCTGCATCTCTCCCCAATGGGCACACACCAGGCAATGCTCGGCTTTGGGGCTGAGGACCCCGAGCACAAACAGATGCTGTTGACGAGCCATTGATTCTCCTCCTTCCCCCGCACAGGGCACTTGTCCTTCCTTTTGTGTCTATCCAATTGTTGTCTCACTAACAATACTGTAATTTTAAGTTCAGAAACCCCTACAAGAGTGAACCACAACCAGTTGCTTATAGCCTGTCAGTCACAGGGGTGAAGCAGCTGAGCCATGGCTCCTGTGGATGCAAATGATGAGTATTTAAGTGACACTACAGGAAATGTAGATAGGAACTACCAAGCAACAGTATCAGGTGTCAGCTCTGGAAGAATCAAGGCCACAGTTAGAAACATAGGGAAGAAGATTCTCATTTTATATTTCAGTTAACTGTATGTACAGTTTCTCCCACATAACCAGTCCCCTACGCCCTTGGAAGATCCTCCTCGGCTTTACCTAGCCTGCACGATGAGGAAAAAAAAGAGTCTACCTCCCCAGAACAAATAACACGACCGGGCTTTCGGTTTTCTTTGTCTTGCCCATACCCTTTAAACCTCCCCAACTTGCTTTCCCGAAGGCCCTGGAGTTCATTCTCAATAGAGTGCAGGAGCGCCAGCAAATACTGATGCTGGCCTGCCTCTCCCTGCGCCTCGGACAAGAGAAAGCAAAGGGAGACAGGCACAGGCGGCATGGGGGGGTAGGAGACTGCAGCACTTGACAATTACTGAATAAACTGTTAATATGAATTCAGAAAATATGCCTACCCACAAACACAAATGGTCATTCTGCAGCAGATGTGAAGGGCTGCTCAGTGCTAACTCTGTTAGTACACAAAATTGTGAGGTCCATAACGGCTGGAGTACAAACAAGGCGTTCATTCAGGGGATGGGGCGCTGTCTCAGGGCCCGCCCTGAGCCCGGCTACCAGACACCCCCCTGTGCCCGCAGGAGAGAGAAGGGCTGCATCGGCGCCTACCCACCAACTACGAGGAAAAATATAATAATGTAAAATAAGTAAAATCGAAACGACACCACATCTACAGGCTCTGGCATCGTTCAGGAGTGCACCCAGACGTTAAAAGGCAGGGGAACAAGAAAGGAAGAGAATGAAGCAGTTACGAGGAAACAAGTCTGACTTAATAGACAGGCTTCTGCAGCACACGCTGCCAGAGCAGCCTCAGATTACAATAAATGCACTGTTTCCCCTGCCAGGGCTCATTTGTGCATCTCCACACCCACCATGTCTCCCCGCCAGCCAGTGTCAGGCTGTGTCATCAGCCATTGTTAGCAGATGGAAAAACCCTCCTGCACCAGGAGCTGTGGAGGCACCGCAGAGAGCACCTTTCCTCCCAGCCTAGCAAAAGCGTTGCAGGACTGGGCGAGAGTGCCCAGGGCCCAAACCCAGCCACCTCTGCTGCCCAGCTCAGCCCCTGGCTGCGTACGGCAAGTGGGGGCTGGCCTCTGTGCAAAGGGCCCGGCTCGCTGAAGCGCCAGCGTGAGTGAAAGGTGCCACGCAGACCATGGCTGCACGCAGCTCTACCTGACCGCTGGCACAAACCTGTCAGGCTTGCTGGCCTGATCTCCACCGCTGACTGTGTCTCAACAAGTCTCCACGCAGCCAGCGACAGCCCATTTGTCACCGGTGTGGTACCTTTCGCGAGCATCCATTTCTGCAGGCACAGGTGCTGCCCCACAAGGCCAAGCCTGGAAGCATCCTTCCAGCACACCTCTGCCAAAACCTGGTGGGATCACCACCAGCCCCCAACACCCCTGCCCTGCTGGGAAGCCTTTTTGCTGAGCATTCCCTGTCTCTCTGCCTGTTGGCATTTGGGATCAAGTTTTCAAAACATTACCTATTCCCTCATGCCCACACTCTGCTCCTGATGTTCTTAAGCATCATCTGGTCATTTGAGATTCCAAAATATCAGGGGGTCTCTTAACAGTTCTCAGTGAGACACTGCAGAAGGGAAGGGAGGCAGCAGCTTCCAGAAGGCTGCTGAATCCAGCCAAGAACAGTGCTCACCTTGTTCACAAAGCACAAGGGCATAATTAGGGTAGCATGAAACTTTCCCTTGTAAAAGAAGAGACACTAATTGCAATGGTGTTTCATCAGTAGCTGGATGTCTCCTCCTCACTAATATACCACACAACAGCACAGAAAAACCCCTGACTGGAATCACAGGGGTAGATGGCCAGCTGCACTCCGTGATTCCCCACGGTCTGTGGGCATGGTAAGAAATGCCATACTGATAGCTGCCAGTTTACCAAAATCTGTCTAGTCAGTAACTGAGGCTTTTCTCCCCACTTGCACCTGATACAACATACTAGCCATTCCCATGCAGACCTCATTGTTTTTAGAGGTGCCAGAGACATCACAGAGATGGTGCTCATGGGCTGTGACAGGGTGGTTGAATGGGATGTACATGGCTCACACCAATAAAAAATATGGGAGCTCCAGTCTACCTGGGATAGGAAAGGGTTTTGTGACCAAAGCACAAAGACTGAGCGATTTTGATTCAACCAACAGTTCTGTTGATAGTTATTTTATGAAATCAGGGCAAGGCATTTCACCACTTTAGTCTTCCACCTCTCTTTCTGCAGGGATAGGAAAACATACTGTGGACAGCAGGAGGGGAAGTATTTTGATTATATCTCCAAATAACCAAAGAAAAGAAACTAATAAAAAGTCTCGCAATAGACACACAAGGTTTGAAATTATTATTCTCCTGAGCTGGGCAACCCAGCATCAGCACACATCTGGAAAGTAATACTACATTTACTGGTCTCTCACGCACTGTGCACAACCTAAGGCACAGTGAAGAGCAACACTTCCATACCAAGCTGATGAAGCAATCACTGAGAAAGCCAAAAAAATCAGTTAACCTCCCCTCCCCATGTTTTCTCCACACCACAACCAAGAGATATGCCCATACTTCCCAATCTTCCTTCAATTGCTACAGTCTTGCCTGTTACAGTG